CATTATAATAAAAAAAAATTGTGTGCGTGTAACCTTTACGCGCGATTGAAGTAAAGCTTCTTTGACGTTGAGGGCATATATCACTGAAATTATTAAATATTTAGTAACGTAGTATGTCATATTAAATATGACATATACTTATGACGTTACTTCCGTCAGAAAAAAATCTGAGTTAGTTTCTCCCTAGTCGCGCCTAAAGAAGTCTTACTTCAAAAATATTTAAGCGGGGCTCCTATACAACAGACATGATGCTTTTCGCGTGTCCGACTGGCACTTGGGCGGTTTCTCATTTTAAAAGTAAGAAAAGGAAAGAAAGAGAGAAAAGAAAAAGCGTGTTTTTGTAAGCCGTTAGCGGGCCCTAGTGGCGATATAGTCGGGCCGGTTGTCGCGCACCGAAATAGACGGGCAAGGCCGCCCGAATGCGAGGGCGTGGGCGCTCTGGCCGGTCGATACGGGCCGGCGTTTATTAGCCGAGCGGTTTTTAAACGCTCGTTAGGAGACCGCCGACTGCGAAGCATCCGAACGAGCGTGTACTGTACTGTATCTAGATATCATTTCTCATAGGTGTTTTTTTTTAATTGTTGGTACGCGATATCTTCCATAGTAATCAATTCAAATTTAATTGCTCAAACACCGTTTTAAAGCTACGGATTCTGAAAATTTACTATTGATGAAAATTTGATTCAATTAATATTTGCATTGAAATAAAAATCTTTTAAAGAATTTATGATAATGACATGTATTGAAAATATGTTAAATTAAACATGTACACAATATTAATAGTAATCCATCCTACCATCAAACCAAAAGTAGTAATTATTTCAAGGCTATTTCAAATTTAAATTTGTATGCACCATACTACTAATCTATGCACTTCACGACATCACCATGGTAACCAAGCATGATGAGGTTGGTCTCGAAGCAATGTCGTTGAGGGTCGGTGTGCGCTGCATCGTAAAACGCCGCGTTACGGTTACGGCAGAGCCATGTTGTTGCACGAATGGACAGGCTAGTCCGGGTAAATACCACGACCTCACAGAAGACCGGCGTAAAGTGAACGTATAATACTTTCGCGTTTCGTCTGGTGAGTGAGGTGGCCGGAGTCCAATTTTCAAAAGGTTGTCAAAACATCTGCAACCCTCGGGTGTAGCAGATGTCCATGGTCAGCGGTATTCACTTAACATCAGGTGAACCGTCTGCCCGTTTGGCAACATTTCACATAAAAAAAATTTACCCTCTTGATTTTTCCAAACACGCCAAAAGCTCAATCTTTTCTATTACTTCGAGCGTGTAAAAACGCGGCGTTTTAAACGCCCGCTCGTCTGGCAAACGCGACCGCGTGTGCACATCGATTTTTCATCGTTGGCTCTAACCGAATTTACATTATGAGCTCGGTTTAGTTTGTGTACACAAATGAATTCCGACCGCGATCAGAGGACTCCGGTGCCCGCGTGACTCAGCGGTTGGGGCGAACGGCTCTAAGGGCTTGAACCAAAGAACTTACACCTCTCGGTTTTCTTCAGGACACATTTTGGTGAGTGTTTTTCAAAAGGTTGTCGACGCATCGGCAACCCACGGGTGTAGCAGATGTCCATGGGCGGCGGTATTCCATTAACATCAGGTGAACCGTCCGCTCGCTTGACAACTTTTCACATAAAAAAGACACTTCTCGTACAATTTGCAGAATCGTTTATTTTAGACATCTCGCACATAGTTACAGAGACAATGCGAGTAAAAATAAAGTCGAATATTTTGTGTGAAACGTGGATATCTGAAGCCGCCGTGAATCAGCCGGGCTGTTAGTCATTCGGCGTAACAAACACATCTAGAAGGCGACACAAAAGTATTCCGCGCGAATTTGCACACATTTTTTGGGATCCATCATCGATAGACTTCAGCGCGTCTAATCTAAATATGTACCTACAAATAACAACAGAGCCGCGATAGCTCAGTGTCCGGGCGCTCGCCTTTAATTATATTTACTCGAGCAACCCGAGTTCGATCCCCGATTGAAATACCAATGAAATTGCTAATTTTAAGTGCTGAATTATCACTTGCTCTTTGCAAGCTCTTTTTGTGAAGTCCCCAAATCCGCAGTTGGGCCGCGTGGTGGACTATGCCCTGATACCCTTTACAGAGAAGGCCTTCGCCCAGCAGTGGGACATTTATAGGCTGTTGCTTTACTTTATTTTATATAACTAAGTTGTAACGTTATTTCGTTTTAATGAAAGTTACTTAACTGACATAAATTTTAAGCTTTTAAGCCACCATGGGCAGTAAGATACCTTGGCAGCTGTGCCAATGCGCTGTTAACGCAATGTCTGGGCGACACTGTTGTCGAGTGAGACAACATCATCAACATCAGCGGCCGTCCCGCACTGACTTCTAGAAACGTCCGTCGCCGATACTTGGAAGCTATAAAGGCCGTCGCCGATAAGATATCCCGACCGATATCGCCGCGACAGTGTAGCCGTATCGGGAATATAAAACGAATCTTATCGCGACGTCGCATAGAAATTTATCGTCCGATACGTACGCCTTGTTCTGCGCTCGTAAATGTAACAATTTGCCAAGCGAGCGGGCGGTTCACCTGATGTGGTTAGGCCACGCAACAGTGTTCGCTGTTGCACGAATGGGCAGGTCCGCCCGGGTTAGTACCACGACATCACAGAAGACCGGGGCGGAGTAGAAGTGTTACATTTCTGCGTTTCTTCTAGTGAGTGATGTAGCCGGGGCCCTCTTTATTTAAAGGTCGCCACGCTTCTGAAACCCTACGGGTGTTGCAAATGCCCATGGGCGTCTACAACACCCGTAGGTTTGCAGATGCGATGCCACCTTTTACAAAGTGTATCCCGGCCACCTCACTCAACAGACGAAACGCGAAAGTGTAACACTTGCTTACCGCACGCCGGTCTTTTGTTGTGCCGTGGACGAATCTGCTGATGCATAAGCAGAAGTCGCTAGGAATGCCGAAGTGTATAAATATATATCGATATTTATAAAAATATCAATATCGGCTTCGATATATCGAAGGGGAAATATAGACATATCGATATTTTCTGTTTGGGCTCCGCTGTCCAATAAAAAACGTTTTTGAATGTAAAGACTCTGGGCCGGATTCGAATATGAAAAAAGTATCGTTTTTGATTTCGATTTCGAAATTCAATATTGTTATATTGATATATCGGATCAAAATATATCGGCTGAAAATATCGATATATTTTATTAAAAGTATCGATATATCGATATTTTTTCGACACCCCTAGAAGTTGTTGCGTGGCCTTACCACAGTTAAATGGACGGAGAAACTGTGGGTTCGATCCCCGATATTCAGAAATATTGCGGGAAGAACAAAGCAGCAGGAAGATCGTTGCGTTTATTAAGGACAGAAAAATATGTTGATCAGTAACGTAGTACAAGCTGAATAGTTTAGGACTGGATAGCGAAATGCAAAAATGTGGTCAAAAATATTATTTTTATTAAAGACGTGTAGTGGTGTGGCCACGAAACAGTGTTGGCTGTTGCACGAATGGGAAGATCACAAAGAAGGGCGGCGCGAAGTAGACGTGTTGCACTTCTGCGTTTATTCTAGTGAGTGAGGTAGCCGGGGCCCAATTTTTTGAAAGGTGGCAACGCGTCTGCAACTCAAAGGGTGTTGCGAATGTGGCGGCTGTTATCAGTTAACATCAGGTGTACCGCCAGCTCGTTTGCCACTTTCACACATGGAAAGAAAAAAAAGCACGTCTTTTTACATGCAATCTAAAAATTCTAACACGTGTTACGCGAGCAACCTAAATGTGGGGCAGATAGATAGACGATTGTAAATTGTAGTGATTTATTGATTTACCCGATATATTAAAATACTTTGTGGTGTACTGTAAAGTAAAAGGAGTTGAATTAGTTTGTTTTCCACGTCAAGTTGCCATCGCGTGGCAAGGGAACATTGGCCTCTTTATATAAAAAACCGGCCAAGCGAAGGGTTCCGTACCATTATCTATAAAAACGGCAAAAAAAATCATGTCTATCGTATGGGAGCCTCACTTAAATATGTTTTCTAGTATTTGTCTGTCTGTCTGTTTTTTAGTATTTCTTGTTATAGAATCCATCTGTGAAAATTTCAACTGTCTAACTCTCACGCTTCATGAGATACAGCCAGATTACAGACGTACAGACAGACAGCGGAGTCTTAGTAATATTATCTACTTTGTTGTAATGGTGTCCCGTTTTATCCCTTTGGGTACGGAACCCTAAAAACATATCTCCACCTTTACGATTGCATTAACCTGCGCCAAAAAGAAGTTTTTCGAGCTCAGAATTCCACCGAATCGCGTGTTCAGTCGAATGGGGCTTTTTTATAGCGCTCGATTTTTAAATCAGCAAACATCAAATATTATATTGAGTTTTCATAGTGCTATTTTCTGCAGTTGCAGAACAAATATTATATTGAGTTTTCATAGTGCTATTTTCTGCAGTTGCAGAACAAATATTATATTGAGTTTTCATAGTGCTATTTTCTGTAACTGAAGGATTAAAATTTTTAGAAACACTATGATGTTTAAATTGATAAATACAAAATTTTTAATTCAACAGATCATCGATTCGACATGTCCCGTTCGAGTTATCGTTATAAAACGATATTTCAAATTGTTCGTATGCTGTAAAAAGGACACAACAGATGCGATAATCATTGGTTACAGTGCGAAAAACCAAAGGAGACAAAATACGTTCAGATTTTCATCTGTATGGCTTAGTGGTTAAAGCGTCTGGACGCGAATCTAAGACGTGGGTTCGATTTACGCAACGGCGAGAAACTTTCCCTCCCCATTTTCTAGTAATTTTAAAGCAAACTGCAAGTTCATGAACAGCCCTGTCCAACTCATCCACATACCCTGTTCTTATCCCACCAATAATAACTTGAGAGAACATGAATAATGACCTCAGCATATGGAATCGAAGCCGAGACCCTAGCGCCGGTGGCCTATTGCCCCTTGACATCATCATACTTGAGACGGTTTTACGCGCGGGATAGTTTCGGCCTCGTGAATTAGGTCGGCACGCGCTCCCGACCAGACCTTGGGCGCCAATTGAGCCTCCACCGGGGCTGAGGTCACCGTCACAGACCGCGGTGACACTCGCGCGACGGGAAGCGACATGTGGCGTGGGCGGTAGACGGTCTCGGCAACCCACGCGTGGGATTGCCGTCGATGTGAACGGTCTATGGATGTGATCACCGCCGTTACAAGGCATATGGATGCAGTTGTGTAAGCAAGGCATATTTTAACCGCGATTGAAGCCACTGCGATAGATTATTGTCTTTACCCACTTTGCTTTGAAATAAGTGCAATGAGCCATACGCCGTATTAACAACGACAAAAAACTCAACGAAATTTTAGTTTATCAGTTTTCCTGTAGCCGTGATAGCTCAGTGTCCGGACGCTCGCCTTTAATTCAATATACTCCAGCAACCAGAGTTCGATCCCCGGTGCCGGCACCGATGAAATTGTTAATTTTAAGTGTCGACTTATCACGTGCTCGGCGGTGAAGGAAAACATCATGAGGAGACCTGCATATTTTGCGAAATAATAAAAAAAAATATTTCGAAGATATGTGTAGTCCGCCAATCCGCAGTGGGACCTGATACCCTCTGTAGAGGAGGCCTACGCCCGGCAGTGGGAAAAGTATAGGCTGTTACTTTACTGTACTTTTTAGAGACAGTCTTTTCTTGTTTATGTGAAGAGTTTGCAAGCAGTTCACATAATGTTGAGTGTTTATCCCTTGGACCTCTACACCAACACCCGACGGTTTGCGTTAGCGTTGCCAATCACTCATTTTTGACGCGACTACCCACTACGCCATAGTGTGTAATGTACCTGCCTCCTGCGTTGCTACTGGAAAAATATTGTGTGATGAACATAGTGTTTTTATAGTGTTTATGTATGTATAATATGTATTTATTTACAAAAGAAAATTATGTTTATGTATGTTTATTACTTTTCTAGTACCCATAGTACAAGCGTAGCTTAGTTTGGGACTAGTAAATGTTGTGTAAAAATGTTTCCTAAAACTGTGTTATTCAAAATGTGTTATTCACGGTCTAATAACAATGGATACATACAAAACTTAGAAAATAATGTAACTACACAGTATATAAAATAATATTGGAAAAACTTTAAATAAAATATGTAAACATAACAACAAAAACAAAAAAAGAAGTGAAGTCTGTATAACTATTTTTTTATATTTTTTGTTAATTTTAGTTATTTTTTTTCTCTTCTATTCGTTCTCTACTCTACTCTACTCTACTCTAAAATTCGTTCCGATCCCGAAACTGGTTGTGGTTTTCAGTCCGGCCAGCATTTGGAGCCAACCCGGACGGCCGCGTTAGTGCACTTGCAAATGATACAACGCAGAATAGCGAAAATTGTACGCCCCGTTGACTACGGTTACAACAAGTGTAGACTATGACGTATAACTTATAGTAGATAGCAGGAACACAATCATGTATGCGTCAGATGAAGCTTTAATAGTCTCGGGACTGAAAGCAAAAACATCAGTTAATACAAGACATGTATTATTCCCATAAAGTACCCCCCTCCCTTCCACGCCTTCTCGCGGCCGGGAGGGAAGCGACAAAAGGAGAAAAACGAACAGATTAAAAAAAAAAAAAAAAACGGAAATTCCATATTCCTTGCGCACGGAACAACACAAGCCAGACACCCGAATATCTCTTCCGTTGTATGCAAAACGTTCGTATCGCATCGCCTATTCCGAACCTTACGCCTACAGCAATACGTTCCACAATAGCGTCTCGTAAACTGTATGCGATTGTATGGAAATCGGTCGGGAGCGCCGCATGCGAAAAGCGCACGTATCGCGTACATATAAGGGCGAGATCGCCGCGCTGCGGGCCGAGTGCATCGGAATTTTTTTTGCCCCTCGCCAAAGTCAAGGACTCGTCCGGACCGGTCCTTCGAGCTGCGTGAGAGCGGGGCGGTCGTATGCGGGTCGTCGGCGAGTGCGACGGAGACGGACGGGGCGCGGTGGACCGGTCGCGCGTGTTTTTTTTTTCGTCGGACCTCCGAAAATTCGACGGGTTTCTGGCAACGCATGTCCGAAACAACGGCCAGTCAGTTTCTTATAACGACGGTTCGAACCCCAATGCCGATAGTAATCGAGTATCGTATCGTGCCGCATAAAAACTAGAGCACAAGGAAAATTCCCGAGAGAAACTTTATGGGAAATACGTGGACGTGTAGTTAACTTCTTTATATATGGTTTATTTTTGATGTAAAATTTGACGATTCATAAGAGCGCGCAAACGTCTATTTGAATAAATATATTTTTGATACCGCGTCACTCAATGTCCCCTCATAGCCAGTTCTGTACCCAGCAGTGAGGTATATAATGGCATACACATTTACATAGAATATTTCAAAATCGGGACTGGTTAACACACCAATATTCACAAGTTTGTAATTGATAAAACTACTTCTATATACTACTTCTTTTGCAGAAATAAATACATTTCATATACCCATAAAAATAAAAATCACTATGTTCGTCACACAACATTATTCCAGCATTGGGGATCGAACCGACGCCCACTGACGCATGAGAGAGTTATACCCACTACGCCAACCGGGTCGTCATCTATAGCAACAACAAACATCTCAGGCGTTTACTACTGCTGTGTACCCACCAAAGCACAGACGCGAGCTTTGGGCGAGAAGAATCAATTTGCAAAGAGTTTTCTTTACGATGTAAATGGAGTAGGTGGGGGCGACGCTCGGGAGCTACAGACGAATAAATTACCTCGGATTACATATTGAAGGAGCTTATTTAACTAGCTGTGTCCGCGATTTTTTTTTTATGTGAAAAGTTGCCAAACGAACAGAAGGTTCACCTGATGTTAAGTGGATACCGCCGCCCACAGAAATCTGCCACACCCGAGGGTTACAGATGCGTTGACAACCTTTTAAAAATTGGGCTCCAGCTACCTCACTCACCAAACTTAACGCGAAAGTATTTGTCGTACTTCCACTTGACGCTGGTCTTCTGTGAGGTCGTGGTACTTACCCGGAGGGACCTGCCCATTCGTGCAACAGCGAACACTGTTGCGTGGCCTCACCACATCAGGTGAACCGCCCGCTCGCTTGGCAAGTTGTTAAATTTACGAGCGCAAACAAGGCGGAGCCTTGGCGGTTCAGCCGTTTCGGAAAATTAGCCGGAACAGACAGACAGACAGACAGAGAAAAATTGTAAAAAAATGTTATTTTGGTATATTGTATATACGTCCGTATTCATTTAGTAAAAAGCGGTTATTTTAATATTACAAACAGATACTCCAAATTTTATTTATCTGTATAGATGCTGTGGAGATGGTCTACTCAGACTCCGTATCCCAGTTGTAAATGTTTTCTCAGGTAAGTGATTTCACACAACTAGTAGTAAGGGGTTTTTTTAAGACCAGAAACGAGTTCTTATCTTTAAAATCTCTCTTTTATACCATAGAACTCACTCCGAAGTTTAAGGTGAAGATATTATATTCTTCTTTCTTCTGCTCTTATCGCAATAAAGGTTTATTTTATTTTATTTAATCTTTATTGCACTTAAAATTATAGTACAAAGGCGAGCTTAATGCTATACTGCATTCTCTACCAGCTAACCCTAGATAAAACAGAAAGAAAATGAATAGGGCAGTAAAGTAGAATTAAAACACTATGCATATAATAAGGTGATCCAGGTGAACAATAGATCAATATATAGTTAACAATAGAGAACTCAACCGCATTTTACGTCTTTATAAATGTTCTTAGTTCTAATTTAACAACATTTGACATCACTAACTAGCCTAACATTATCACGTGCTGTAGGGACGTTTCAGAAAACGTAAATATCACTTGGAAAGCCCAGATCTGAAAACAATATCTGTGGGTCACACAAATAGCTGTCGCGTTTGGAAATCGAACCCACTACCCGCACGGCCGAAGCCGATACCTCCGACAACTGCGCCACGGAGTCATCAGGTTATCTAACCTATACACATAAATAAAAATGGAGTGTCTGTTTGTAATATTAAAATAACCGCTTTTTACTAAATGTATATGAATGTATACACGGTACATATACCAAGATAAAATTTTTTGCAATTTTTGTCTGCCTGGCTGTCTGTGTGTTGGTTCCGGCTAATCTCTGAAACGGTTGGACCGATTTGGACGGGACTTGCACTGACAGATAGCTGATGTAATAAGGAGTAACTTAATCCACTTTTATTTTAGATTTTTTTTATTTTAAATTCCACGCGGCCGAAGTCGCGGGCACAGCTAGTATGTATATATCAGCCAATTGTGTATAATTCTTGTGTCAAATTTTTAGTTTTTATACTCCTCCGAAACGGCTTGACCGATTTTGATGAAATTTTATGTGTATATTCAGTAGGTATGAGAATAGATTTTCATATTTTTTTATTTATCGAAAAAATTATGACAAAACAACGTTTGCCTGATCAGCTAGTATTATTATAGAGGTCTTCCAAAATAAGACTGCGCAATTCCTATCGAACTCTACCCAAGATACTCGGCTGCAGAGATGCAAGGCCGCACGCTGCTGATGCATTCTAAGCCTTTAGGGTATAAGCGTAGAGTAGAATTTTCTTCACATTTCCCTGACATTCTCTTCAATATCCGCCCTGTTGAAGGTTGAAACAATCGTAGGCAATTTGCTCTCGTGTTGACGGCACGGAGAGCTCTCATATGTAAATATGTACGTAAAAACCTTCGCGACAATAAATGAACACACATATAGGGGATAACTTTTTAAAGTTGTATTAAACATTTAAATTCTTTAAACATCAATATTTACAGGGGTATTAAATTTGCCAAAACAAAGAATTTTAGAACACCCTCACCTATAAAAGCGTAACGTAAAGTTCATTTGTAAAGGTCACAAAGCATATGAATGGGTTGAATGAATTTAAAAGAGACGAAACATGGTGTTAGAAGGAGAGGCTTGTAATACGACGCAGTGGCGCGAGTTGTATAGGATGTTACAAATTTTGTTTCTTTTTTACTTAATTAGTTTGTTTGAAAAATATTTTTTTAATTATGGATTTTGTTTAACGTTAATATTTTTTTATGATTATTAGCAAGTAGCGTTAGACGTGTGTTCATTTATTGTCGCGATGGTAACGACACGCTGTATTTATACATAGCTGATGCCGGCAGTACCATCTGCGACAAGACAAAAACTTACATAAGAGATACCCATATCTTCCAATGTGACAACAGTTCCTTCTTAAATATTGAACCATTTTTATTTTTGAAGACAACTATCGCCCAGCCGGCAAGGACGTCAAACTAGCTTGCTATTAGTGCCGTGGAATATAATCATAGAAAGTAAAAGCCTACACATATTCCACTGCTGGGCAAAGGCATCCTCCGCAGAGGATATCAGGCCATAGTCCACCACGCGGCCCCACTTACTGGCGGAATTCACACATATTCGAACTTTTTTTTGTTATTATTTCCGAAAATACGCAGGTTTCCTCGTTACGTTTTCATTCACCGCCGAGCGCGTGACAAATGAGCAATTACAATTAACAATTTCATCGGTGCCGGCACCGGGGATCGAACTCGGGTTGCTCGAGTATACTGAATTAAATGCGAGCGCTGGGACACTGAGCCATCACTAGAATTATATCTTTATATAACGCTGTCGCGATTAGAGTGCATATTAGCGCGTATATATCGTCACCGGTGCATCTTTCCACACACAACCTAGCCCACGCCGGCGGACATCGAACTCGGCACCGCGAGGGTCGCTCCGGGCTCGCCGCTGAGTCATATAGCTCCGCTCGCGACCGTTACGCAAGCCAGACGGTTGCGCGAGAAACGAACCTCGGACACCGGTCGACGGAGGCCGGTGGCGCAGCGCCAATGCTGATATGTCTAAGATTTCTTCACAAATCAATACAAAATCAGAGTTGTTGCCGATGCGTTGCCTAACTTCATAAAAGTGGGCCCTTATTGCCTCACTCAATATAAAAAATCGGTCCAGCCGTTTCAGCGATTAGCCGGAACTTAAATTGTAAAAAAATTATTTTGGTATATGTACCGTGTATACATCCATATGCATTTAGTAAAAAGCGGTTATTTTTTTATCTGTATAGATGACGACCCGATTGGCGTAGTGGTTAGTGGACCTGTCTCTTGCGTCAGGCATGGATTCGATCCCCAATATTGGAAAAATATTGTGTGATGAATATAGTGTTTTTATTTACATATAAATATAAAATGCATTTATTACCGAAAAACATTGAAATATATTTATCAGTTATCTAGTATCCTTTTACTGGGTAACATGGGCCAATAGTTGGCTCCCGAATATATACGTACACCATGTTTATACAAATAAAAGACTATCGAAAGTTCGAAACGTTCAAAACTTGTGTTTAACCGAAATCGCTTTCGCATAGCGTTGCCTTCGCCTAGCTCGCAGTGGAGTCTAACCTCGAAGACCGGTCGCACCGGTCCAGGCGGCGGGGAGGCTGCGTCGACTAGGAGGCTGGGCAGTTTCGCGTCTTACGCAACGTGAGCGGCGCCGGGGCGCCGTGCGCTAGCTAGGCGGGTTGGCACGCAGCTCAACAGTACTCAGAGCGATGAGCCACTTGTGAAATATTTAAGTTTTTTTTTTAATCAAACGATCTAGAGACTCGCGTCATGTTGATAGTCATGATGAACTGATAACCGCCGCTAATCCTTACTATCCCTACTAATATTATAAACTCGAAAGTTTGTATGTATGGATGGATGTTTGTTACTCTTTCACGCAAATACTACTGAATGGATTCTAATGAAACTTTACAATAATATAGCTTATACATCAGAATAAGACATAGGCTATAACTTATATACCTACATAATTTTATGTAAATCTGTCCTTCTGTCTGAATGTTACGCCTTCATTCTGTTCTAAGCAGACATAGTCGCGGGCAGCAGCTAGTACACAGATAAGTTTAAGTTTTTTTTTTTATATGAGAAGGTGACAAACGAGCTTTGGGAGATTCACGCCGTGTTAAGTGGTAACCGTCGCTAATAGGCATGTGCAACAACAGGTGCAACAACAGTAGGGTTGCAGATACGTAGCCCTAAAGTCCCGGGCTCATAGAATAAGGCTAAGGTATCGCCTGCCTGTCGTAAAAGGCGACTAAAAAGGGACACGGATGGGCAGCAGCACGAGACCACTTCGTGCAAGAGGGTGAGGGAATCGGAGAAGGTTTATCCTTCTCCCTTTCAATGGGCCCCGGCTACTTCACTCACCAGACGAAACGTCAGAAGTGTATAACACTTTTACTTCAAACCGTTGTTCGGTTAGTTTGCGGTACCTACTTCCCCGATTTGACCTGTCCGTATGCAATGGCGAAGACTGTTGCGTTATTTTTTTTATTTATGTGAGAATGGGGCAAACGAGCTGGCGCTTCACCTGATGTTAAGTGTTAACCGCCGCCCACGTACATTTGCAACATTCGTAGGGTTGCAGATGGATTGCCACCTTTTAATAAAGTGGGCCCCGGCTACCTCACGCGTGGGAAACGCAGAAGCGCAACACCTCCACTTTTATGTCCCTCTTCTGCGAGGTCGTGGTACTTACCCGGACGGACCTGCCCATTCGTGCAACAGCAAACACTGTTGCGTGGCCCTACAACAGTTATAAGTTCGATTGCCACGCGGGTCAAGTATTTGTGCGACATCTTATTTATACTGTGAATTAATTATAGAATACCCCGCGTTGCAACGGACTGTTTATTAAAAAAAAACTAGTAACAAAAGCCCAAATCGAACAAAGAAACTGGGACCTCTCAATAAAAAAAAAACAACCATTAATAAACGCGAAATTAAAAAAAAACAACAGCGCGTCGCGGAAAAGCAAAAAGCAAAAAAAAAAAAGCTTGAATCGACCCGTCTCGCGGTTTTCGCGGAACCGAGGTCGCCGACCCCGGCCGCCTTACGACCATAGAGTACTACACAACTTTTTTACGCGCGCGCCCGATTGACGAACGACCGGCGACTATTTAGTTCGACGTTGACGCCGGAAAAAAAAACCAATTTCGAACATCGAACGTCGCCGGTTGGCGCGCAAAAACTAAAACCCAACGGATTAGCATAGAATAGACGAGTGATAAAAAATTAACCGCACCGTTGGGGTCCGTGATACATCACTACGTAGTATAAAACTAATTCGCCCCGCTGTCTGTCTGTCCCTATGAATGCTTGTATCTTTAAAAGTACGCAACGGATCTTGATGCGGTTTTTTTAACTAGATAGTGTGATTCAAGAGGAAGGTTTATATGAACTTTTGTAAGTAACAAACATCTTTTTGAATTCCTTACCTCATCCATAGAGTATTTTTGCACTGTGTATAATTTTTTGTACATAATCTATTCGGTTGAATATTGTATTTTTCAAAATAATGTATAAAAATATAAAGCGAATAACTAATTATAATTAATACTGTTTTTAATAGCTTGGCCTTGGGAAATGTTGGCAACCCTAATTACTAGGAACCTCAATACATCACGAAGTCCGACATATATGTATACATGACATATAAGTGACGCCGTTTTTAAGCTATTGGCTTCGGCGTCGAGGGTTGTGGGTTCATTTCCCGTGTGGGGATCGGAACACCATTAAAAAAATGTAGTCAAAACCGCCAATGACGTAATTCACGTGTTGCGCCGACACCACTTAGGTGGGCCAAGATGAATGTAGGATGATTCATCACCTTACCACGTGTTTGAGCTTCGTCGAGGACGACATATGGGATTTTACACCGAACTGATGAGTTCATCACAGACTACATTGACAACAAAATAAAAAGATACCAGAAGAGATTAAAGAACGCCATACTAAGGGAAAACTGTAAAGTAAAAAAAAAAGTACAGTAACAGCTTATATATGTCCCACTCCTGGTCAAAGGCCTCCTCTATACAGAGGGTATCAGGGCATAGTCCACCACGCGGCCCCACTGCGGATTGGCGGACTTCACATATCTTCGAAATATTTTTTTTGTTATTAGGTATTTCGAAAATATGCAGGTTTCCTCACGATGTTTTCCTTCACCTCGGAGCACGTAATAAGTCAGCACTTAGTTAAAAACTTCATTGGTGCCGGGGATCGAACTCAGGTTGCTCGAGTATATTGAGTTAAAGGCGAGCGCCTGGACAATGAGCTATCACGGCTACAGGAAATCTGATAAACTAAAATTAAGTTGAGTTTTTTGTCGTTGGTAATATGGCGTATGGCTCACTGCACTTATTTCATAGAAAAGTGGGTAAAGATAATAAATAAGTAAAGACATTTTGAAATATAAAACTTATAACGTTATTTAATAAACGGTTAAAAACCTTTTTCTGCTAATGGTTCTAACTCTGAATCTCGTACCTTTAATGGAAATAAGATATTGATAATCTATACCTACTATATTATTTATTGCGTTTTAAAACATAGATCTTTTATCAAATGACTGTTCATTAAATGCTGCCAACTTTTATGGAACTTAAGTAGTAAATATGTACATATAAATAAATTATAATAGTCGAAACCATACGTTTTAATACACAAATTAATAACATATTTTGCGGCCTGGATGCAAAAAAATGGGCATGCCCCAAAACAATATAAGATAAGATGTTTTCAATTTATAATTTTAGCGGTCTCTATGAATAACAATACGTGCAGTAACATGATATTTTGTTATTTTTTTCAGATGGAGATACCCAATTGAAATACGTTTAAGCAAGTAATAAAACATTGTCATGTTCCTAGTCAGATCGATGTCATCAAGTTCAGTTATTCATTGGAAAAATCACTGAGCGTACCATAGTGTGTAGTGGAACCAAAGTAGGAAAAAAAAAAAAAAAAAAAAACCGGCCACGTGTGAGTCGGACATGCGCACGATGTGTTCCGTACCATTATCTATAGAAACGGCATAAAAAATCATGTGTATGGGATCATAAATCTGTTGTATGGGAGCCCCACTTAAATATTTTGTTTATTCTGTTTTTCAGTATTTGTTGGTATAGCGGCAATAGAAATGCATCATCTGTGAAAATTTAAACTGTCTAACTATCACGGTTCATCAAATACAGCCTGGTGACAGACGGACAGACAGACAGCGGAGTCTAAGTAACAGGGTCCCCCTTTACCCTTTGGGTACAGAACCTTCAAAAGAAATAAGTGCACGGTTCGGAGTTACGGAACCGAACAGCGACATTGTCACTTTGTGCATCATAGGCACATTACAATCGCGTACTGCCATAAACTAGGCATGAAACGTACGCACACGTACATATGTACGCGGGTTTAATGTGCCTATGATATTAGAATCAAACGCAACGATTGCAAATCAAACGAATCCAATTATTGTGCATCGATGGGCTTTTCGAATTTCGAACGTGCAACGGTCACTAATATCCATGGACACCAATACATCTGAAGCGAGCAGGGGGCTCTCTATATGGATAAGTGACATGACATAAGAGGGCTGGCCATTGCGCTATTTGGGGGTGTGACGTCATCGCGGCCGGCCGAGCACACGTCGTGGAAGTGACGTCATCGAACCAAGATGGCGTCGGCTGAGCGCCCGGAGTAGGAACACTGACAGTGAAGATATATATCGACGTATCGATATATATAAAAATATCAATATCGGTTTCGATATATCGATATTTAACATGATTTATAAATGTATGTCAATTATTAAATATTTGAATCTACGGACTCTCTGCGCGTATTAGAATTCGAAAAAATATCGTTTTGACACGATTTCAAGATTGAACATTTTATATCGATCAAAACATATCGGCTAAAAATATGGATATTTTTCATGAAAAACATCGATATGTCGACATTTTTTCGGCATCCCTAGCCCGGCGACGCCACAAAACGCACGTACCGCACTGTTATATACACATGTTGTATGAAATAGTCATGACAATAGATGCCTAGTAAGCAATACTACTCAGGGGCGTATCTCAAACTTGTTGCAGTTTGGTTCCAGTCCATCATCAATAGCGCCGTGCCAGTTTTCGGGAGTCTTTCTATTTCTTTGTGAATTATAATGAACAAATAATAAATATATATCAGAACAATTTTTACACGTTTCCTAGCCTCAAACTAAGCAACGCTTGTACTATCGGTACTAAAACAAATGATAAAGACACTTAAACATACTTTTCATTTGTAAATAAATACGCATTATAAATATAATTATATACACCCAGACACTGGAAAAACACTATGCATGTGGGATCAAACCCACACCCTCTGGCGCAAGAGGCAGGGTCACTACCCAATCGGGTCGTCAAATTTATTTTAATAAACCTTCAAATTTAATTGAATAATTGTCACTACATAATATAAAACAAAGTCGTTGTCCGCTGTGTGTCTGTCCCTATGTATGCTATTAGATCTTTAAAACTACGCAACGGATCTTGACGAAGTTTTCGTCACTAGATTGAGCGTTTCAAGAGGAAGGTTTAAGGTATAATATATTGCACCCGTACGAAGCCATAAATATATAACAAGTCGATAAATTAGTGTCTCAGTAAATTATGTTTTTCTTAGTGATTTTTCGAATCCCACCGTAACGGTACGCGCGTACTTAGACGCGTGGCGGTACGCGCGTACCCGTCTGGCCGGTACGTACCGCGTCGCGCGTACCGATGACCCAATTGGCGGCGGGCGGCCCGCGGCGCGACAAAGAATCGATCGGCGTCGCTGATTAGGCCGGCCCGGTTGGCACGTAACTCGATAAAGCCCATGTAGACTTACCCGGGCGACGGATAATTAATAAATGTCTGGTAAAATTTTAGCAGGCTACTAATTCGATATAGCAAACGAATTATTAAAGAAAAACAGAGCCGACTTGAAATACCTCGCTCTGTATTCATTTTATGATTGATTTTCAGGATTTCCCTACGTATCTCCGGAGCACAAGATCCTTTGGCAAAAATTTCAATAATTTATCCATTAGGTTCGCATTTAAAATGTATCTTCCTGAGAAATACATTTTTAGCTTTTTTTCCCCACTTGGGATATCGATTATCCCGCAACGCATGGACGTTTCACATCAGATATAAGACTTCTGCTATTTTTTATGCTGCAACTCCATTGTATCTATGTCAAATATCAGCTGTGGTACTTCCCTGGATGAGCCTGCCCATTTGTGCAACAGCAGAAGCTGCTATATGGCTCTGTCACAATTGAAATCTGCTTAAAGTGATTATTTAACCATAGCCACGTTGTATAACCCTTGCTTCTAAACCAGGAGTAGAATGTACCAACAGTATCTGATTTTTTTTTCTTATACCATCATGTATGAATAAAAAATATCATACTAATGATTATTTTACGTTGGTAGGGCCACGCAGCAGCATCGGCTGTTGCACGACTGGGCAGGCTCGTCCGTGTAAAGTGGAAGTATAATACTTTCGCGTTTCGTCTGGTGAGTGAGGTGGCTGGAGCCCAATTTCCAAAAAGGTTGTCAACGCATCTGCAAACCCTCGGGTGCAGCAGATGTCCATGGGCGGCGGTATTCACTTAACATCAGGTGCTCTAACCGTCTGCTCGTTTGGAAACTTATCACATAAAAAAAATCATGATTATATCCCACATAATTATATCAATGTGTAATTTAACTGTTGTCTTATCTATTATAATTGCAAAAATTGTGTCAAGTTTTATGCGGAGTAACCTACATATCTTTGCAGATAAACTTTAACAGAATAACATTTTTATAGACGCCTACTTTATGACACACCTTACACGTCATTTAAAACGGTGTCTTAATGGCACTAAACAGACCAGTCAAATCAGATCAAACTTGAAGCAGAAAAAAACACAGCTACAACTTAAAGGTGACAAGTAAAAATATGTATCATATTATGTTTAACAAGTTTGTGTAAATACAAAGATCAAGCTTTTATACTAGCTTGTTGAACCAGGATTCAGGCAGTGATTATTATATTTATGACAATAAATATGCTGAGAGACGAGACGGCTGCATATCAGGCCAACCTTTAGTACATATCATCATTCTTTAATACATATGGAGCGATGATGTAACACTCCATTACTGAAAATTTCAGAATACATTCATTAGTAGAAGTTACGCATTATATACGAACAAACAAATTTTACCTCTTTACAATACTACTGTGGAAGTATATTCGCGTGTTTTAATAGGTATATGAGACGTTAATTTGATATGGCAGTCTCGTGTTACCCAATTTGTGGCATGACTGAATCTGGACGTGTAAATGTCTACGTGTTCATGCGACATTTAATAGATGTAATCAAATATTTACAGTGCCCAGTGTCTCAGTGAACGCTGGTCTAAAATCTTTAACTCTGTAGCAATTTCAAATCCCGATGCAACAATGGTGTTACAAACTCCCATGTCATTTTATTCTATTGACTGTTGGTGGAAACATCATACAACACATATTGTTGCAAATGGAAAGTGATAAGCATTTAGCTGTACATACAAGTCACCGTAACAATTTCGGCAGACGGTTTTAGCCCTCACTTGCTTTAAAACTATAACTTCTATACATACATAAACAAATAGATTAAAGTTCTGTATATTTGTGGCCAAAATATTTAAAGTTTTTAATAGTTTTACCATTACTTGACTATCATCTCTTTGATGGTAAATACAGAATGTCATCTTAGATTGTACATGCACTAACTCTCTAACAGCCTATTAACTTATGCCTTGAAGACACCCACATAATATGGGAATATATACAATAAAAGGAAATTTCCCGACAGGACATAGAGTCCTTGAGAAATTAAATTATCTTTATATTAAAACATGCAGCAATTGTGTAGATGGATGAGTATAAAATTTCCCACACATAGTTTATATACAGAAGGAGTTTAGAATGCAAATATTTTTTTTAAATCATGCATAAAAAACATTATGATAACTCAATAAAAAAACTTTATACACACCACCATGCAATTTTAATTGAGGTCGAATTTCAAACATTGGGCGATCACTAGTCCAAATTAATGTGTCTGGCTAAAATTATTTCCCTACCTTTTCTGTTAAATATTTGTGTACATGTTAAGTATATTGCTTATTTGTAGCTTCCTCATGTAGAGTAAGAGAATAAAATGGAATGGAAATAATTAATTTTCCGGTAAAAACTTAGTTGTCAATAATGAAAAAATAAATATTGAGCATACTACTGTGTTCTGGTAGTGTGCTCAATATTTATTTTTAATTTCAGTTGATGAATGCTTAAAATTAAAAATAGACTGAAGATCGCTTTTTAGGCATTCTTACAAAAAAATGGATACAATAGGTACAACAGTTTCATACATTGAACATTATATTAACAAATTTTTAACAATCTTGGTGGAAACACCATCTTTTGTGCAAGCAACATATGACTAATTTATATTATAGGTTCCAAAAATGATTGTTATTAATAATTATATTCCAAAAATGATTATAACAATAATTATTAATAGAATGTTATTACTATTGGTAAAAAACTGTTTTACAATGTGCTATTATTCATAGTTTCTATGCACACTATGAATATTATTTATTTTTTTTTTTTTTTTTTTATGGGAAAAAAGCAGCAAACGAGTAACGAGAAAAGAACATTTTGGGGCGGTTCAAATAAACTGGATAAAGTGAAAGTGACATTGGAAATTTTTAGGCAAACTATAAGTGCTAAAGGAATTCATCTCACAAGTTTCTCTTGCAAGCCGCAAATATACTATGCACATAACTCTTTCACTCAATTGCAATAGAGACTTATTACGTAAATTAGAATAACAAACTTTTATAAAATCCAAGCAGACTGACAGAGATTGTGGTAGAATAGCTAGATATCACCTCGTCTATCTAGTGATGACACTTGAAATTCAATTGTACAGTAAAAATAAGTGTATTAGACATCATCATGAGAAATGTTTTATAAAGAGCCGAAATTAATTTAATTTGTCCACAAAGCATGTTTCAATGTATTTACACAAAAAAAACCTGCTAAGTGCGAGTCAATACGCAATAAGGATTCCATACAATTATCTATAAAAATGCCAAAAAACTATGTCTGTTGTATGGTTGTCCCACTCACTCCGTATTTGTTGTTATAGCAGCAACAGAAATACATCATCTGTGAAAGTTTCAACTGGGTAACTATCACGGTTCAGGAGATACAGCCTCACGACAGACAGACTGACAGACAAACAGCAATCTTAGTATTAAGGTCCCGTTTTACCCTCTGGGTAGGGAACCCTAAAAAGAAGCAAGTTGATATTAAAATTAGTGATGCATATTTATTATGATTATAAAGTGACCACATTTATGTTATTCTCAGATTTGAAGTTTACTTATCAAGCTGGAATTAGTAAATACACCAAGCAAAGTGTCTACACTGTTTCAACAGCACAAAGCTGTGATAGTGATATCAAGTCATGTTTATTGTATAATTGGTCAATAACTCAATCACTTTTACAGTCTTTGTTACAAATTGATATTGCTTGTGCACTATGAATAATTGGCACAATTATTATGACATTTTAATATACAATAAGACATTAAAGTATGGCACGGATTTAGTTCGACTCAAGAATAACTGGTTCGATACAATACAGTATATTTTTTATATAATATGACAATTAAAACATTAAAAAAACATTGAAACATTAATATGACAAGTTGACAAATGAGATGGTTCGATTTACAAATTGCTAATACAAATTGCTAATTGACACAAGATCTCCGAGTGAATCGGATAAAAACCATCAAATCTCTCCCAATGCCGTAATTGTGCGGCAGTTTTTACAAGCAATCTAATGATGCCCGACTAAAGGAGTGGTCACCATTTTGTTGGCGCAATACACGCGACTGCGGGCGCATACAACTCGCTCGGATTATACGGCCATCCGCGCCCAGAGTGGTGACATCACCGCTATTGAGCCAGATAACGAGTAATTGATTTCAAGTCACGCCCAAACCACATAGAAAAGCGCAGGATAGCGATGCAACCGTATGTACCAACGAATTTACATATTGCCGTCGACACAATACATGTAAGCGATAATAAAATATACATTTAACGTATATATCGGAAATGGGCAAACGTCAAAATAGTGGTATTACAGCGCACCGCCAGAAATAAGGCGTCCCGATGCGTGTAGGGCTAAAAAAAACGACCCAATTCGATCTATGGGCGGCCCGAGACACACCCAAAGTGTGAACACCTTTGACTGCATTGTCGATTGGAACGCAGCATTATAGCTTCTTATTAGATTTCTCATCACATTCGACTTATAACAGGATCTAATATAGTTAAAGCTTACCGGCAGGCGGCTTCCGACGGGAATATGCGCCGATTCCTTCCACCAACGTATCACTGCACTTGAAAACGAGAAGCTATACGACTCGCACTAAGCACACAAACATAATACGGCGCTGAAACACGCACAGAACGTTGCCCGTTAATTTTTAACGCACTAGCACCACGGTCATCACGCGCATACGTTTTAATACTTGGCTCGTTCGGATAATGGTCCGTCCGCTCGCGACCGCTTCGGTAAATCGATGTCGCGAGTTTTGCCGTTGCTCCGCCACTTGGAGACCGTAATGGCGCTGATGACTTAAGACTTTACGTCTTCCGCTCGCCAGGTGTCGCATGTGTAGCTAATGTTGCCATAATTAAAACATTTGGAGTATATCAGTAATAATTTGCTTGGAGAAAAAAATAGATTTTAAGATGAGAATTAAACAATAATAAAATAAACCACCTCTTCTTTCTCCTGCTCTTATCCCATTATTATTTACACTTATTTATTTTCGGAACATGGATGAATAACAACATGGTTATTTCATATTTTATTTTGAAATAATAAAATAAACCACCACTGACTGAAATTCTTCATGACATTAATTATATCGAATTAGATTAAATCGGTCATTCATCGAAGGATCGATATCCTTACTTTCAACTGATGTAAATTGATGTTAAATATATAATCATAAGTAAATTCGTGAGGCATTTTGCGCGACGATGGTAAGAGACCCGACGGTTTAACTTTGATCCCTTGGGAGAAAGGCAAAGCCCTTGTTTGGGAAGCCACTTGTGTAGACACTTTGGCTGCCTCTCATCTAAGGGGTACTTCGGTCAGGGCCGGGGCGGCTTCGGAGGCGGCAGAAGTAAGTAAATGGTGCAAATATGAGTCTTTATGTTTATATTATGTATTTGTGCCATTTGCTGTTGAAACTTTTAATAAAGTGTAAACTGTCTTTTAAATAAAGATTGTATATATGAGTAAATTTGTAAATAAACTAATTATAATATAAATTATATAATAATATAGAGATAATTTTCAACGACGTGGTTAGAAAATATTTAATAAATATTATAGTTTTCAAAAATGCCAACCTGAAAACAAACCCTCAAATAACACAAAAAATACAATATCCTTCATTCTTATCCTGCGTTTGAATGGTTCAGAAGTTCTTATCTGACGTAATCGACACAGAAATTGATAAAATAATTCTATTCACCTTACAATTACAGTTAATGCCAAGAGGGTCATGTCGTGGGGCGAGGCGAACTGTTCATAATATTTCTTTAACAGAGGTCGCGTATACGGAACATTTTTTTTTTCTAAAAACATTGCCCTCACTTTAGGATAACGTTATCCTGTATTGTAAGGACGTTTTTACAACCATAAATTGCACGAGAACAAACACCTAGATGCGAAACAACTATCTGTGGGTCGCACAAATAGTTGTGCCGTGTGGGAATCGAACCCACGACAACTGACGCCGAAGCCGATAACTTGGCAACTGCGCCACGGAGTCATCTTTTATTTTATTATATTCGTGGAATTTTAAGGAGAAGGAATATCCTAACTGTGCAACACATTTCTAACAATGTGTAACGTTTCATTTTACTAAAATAAAACAAATTTCAGAATAGAATTCTTGACATTAAAAAAAATATTATAAACATTTTTTATTTTAACTAACTCGTTTCTTATATTAGGAATAAGCCATACAAGTGCACAACAATGTTCTTAAATTTTTATTAGTAAAAGGGAGTTTTAAAAGCACTCAAAAACATTGGAATATATTCAATACAATCTTTTAACTGCTGAAACGGAACGCAACCGACCGTTCGTTACTGGCATTGTCAAAAGAGAAAAGCCGACATATTCGTTTTCAAAATGGCGTGCGTTTAGGTTGTGCGTTACTGTTTTAATTTTTATTTTATTTTTCAACACACGGCAAAAACTGTCGAGCCGAGACTGAGGTGATTATCGCACTCCCGATTCGCTGTCGACTTCCCATCTGAATTATCAGTGAAAAGACTAGACCACTTCTCGTTAATTCAGTCAATGGATTGTCACGCTGAGGCCGTTACACTTTCAGAGGCGGAGCATGGGCCGATCGCCGAGCCCGCGCCGCCGCGAGGACAGGCGGGAGCGGCGCGACCGGGACAGGGAGCGCGAGAGACGGCGCCCGAGGACGCGTTCCCGCTCCAGGTCTCTAGACCGGAGGCGGCGCTCGCCCGAGCGGCGGCGCTCCCCGTCCCCGAGGAGGCGCCGCTCGCGCTCGCCGTCTCCGCTGCCGACCACCTCCTTCGCGCCCAAGCCGAAGAAGACCTTCGGCGAGCGGCCCATCGTCACGCCTGCCGACTTGGAGGGAAAGACTCCCGAAGAGCAGGAGATGCTCAAGGTGATGGGCTTCTGCGGCTTCGACTCGACCAAAGGTAAGAAGGTGGAGGACAACGTCGAGGGCGAGGTGCACGTGGTGCTCAAGCGCAAGTACAGGCAGTACATGAACAGGAAGGGCGGCTTCAACCGGCCGCTAGACTTCGTCGCCTAGTTAGTCGCAGTAACGCACGACCCGACCGGCGCATCGGGCCTCCAGGGCCGGCGTAGGGCGCGGCCGCCGTGCGGTGCGGCGCCGCCGTTTTGTGATATTTACCGTTGCCCGCTCTCGCTTGAAAACCATCACATGTTGTTGAACTTTATTAGCAACACAACTAGACACTGAGCAGACTGTTAATATAAGTTGTTATTCATTTATTACGAAATGTGCATTCCGTTAAATGCGTACAGTGTTGCTGTAGGAATTGAAGTGGCATTTAAACTTAGCTGAGGTACACAGAGATTTCATATTAGCGCACATACAACTGGCAAGTTATATATTATTCTCAAGGACTTGTAAAATGTCATAATTTTTGGTAAAGTAAGCCGTGAAATCAGTTTTCATGTCTATTTGCTTGCCATGAAATAAAGTGTCAAAAGTACATGTTTAACCTTAAAAGTATGAATCTAGTCCTTGCAAACTTGATCTAAAATCTGTTGTTTGAATTGCCAATTTTAGCTTTTTGCTTTTTGTCTCTCTATGTCTTCCATTTTCGAAATTTCTAAACCTGCTCAAAACTGTTAACTCAAAAATGCAATTGGAAAATAATATTGACTGCCACAAGTACTTAGAAAAGATACCACCAATATTTCTTGGAAATGTACCAAAATATTGTTCATATGTATCTTTCACTCACACATGTGATGGTTTCACTGAGAAAAAGATTTGAAAGTTTTTTTTTACCTAGCCGTAAGTGTTATACACATTGTTTTCCATGTTTTAATTAAACCTGAAACCAATTGTCGCTATGACTGTAATACTTCAAATGCTCTACTACCATATTGGGGCTGGGAATAACTTGTTAATACTTGTTCTACATTAATTTATACTGCTGAAAAGCTTTTGCAACAATTCTTAAAAAATAGTTCTTAAATTTTCTATAAAAAGGGGGGAATTTTTTGATTAACCCATAAAAAAATATTTATTTCATATTCATCATAGGGTTAAATGTCCATAATTTTATTATGTGCCTGAACTTTGTGGATTGTGATATTCACATGTTCTCACCAAATTGATTGTCATATAAAAAAAGTGAGATATTGTTTTATATAAAGAAAATCTCAAAGATTTCATTCTCATTTTTTAATCATTTGAAGATATTTCAGTCATAGCTCTGTAATCCACCACTAAACTGCAGAAATTACTATTATGCGTTTGAGACAATCTGAATCTATTTTAAAATCCTCGCATATGGTCTGACAATCTGTAAACTTACTTAAACTCATACATCCATTGGTTATGAAAGATGGCTTTGGAAAGCAGTTTCGTGGAAGAATGTTAGCGTTAAGTTAGTCTTAAGCCCGTTACCACAGTCCCCGCGCGCAGCTCCGGCCCGCGCGGGTCCAGTCCAGCGCTCTGCGCACCAAGAAACCCATGCAGTGTGCTCTGGAACGACCCTCTGTGGTCTCCGTCTCTCACCCCAATAGCACAGGTCTACTCAAGATGCACTTACACATACTCGAACGGGCATTATTGGAGCTGCATTTTTCCAGCCGTGTTCAGTGTATATTCCAGCTCAGACGTCCATCCAATACTTTTTGATGTCCAAGCACCGCTGATTCTGTGATAATTTAACCAGTCCCATCGAGTATGGTATATGTTTTGTTTGTGAAATTCTGGCTCCCTTGAGTGTTACCACAATCCGGGACGAGACGGAGACTGTACTATAAGACTGATGCCGCCGAGCACCCGAATTCACGTTCCCCGCGCCCCGTGCCATACACAACTTAGCGAATAGCGTAGACACAGAGTTATTTACTATACACATACCCCCTATTGCCCCCTATCCTCCACATTATACAATAGTTACGGACTGTCAAGTCGGAGTGTGCTGTTCACAACCACTAAAGGTCTCATTAAAGATTACTAGATTTCACTTAAGAAATTTGTTGAATATTCAATTCATGTTTACAAAAATTAAAAAAAAATTATTTTAGATCATTCGCACAAATCCAATCTAAAAGTTGATTGTCCTTATGTATTTTATCTTTTATAAGACCTGTAGTTTTTGCCGACAGCGCACTCCGCCGTGTCAAGTCTCCATAGCCCATATATGATATACACTGGTTGCTTAAAATGTGATATTTTTTTAATGATAATGTATACCGAATGCACCCACGCGGCGCGGGGGGGCGCCGCCGGCGATACGTCGCGCCAGAGCACACTGCCGGCGTTTGTCACACCATCCGCACTCTGAATGAATCACGAACCAGATGTCGCCTTTCTCGATTTTTTAAAATCGCCACAAAATTACCAATAAGGCACCAACAAATGGCGAAACCGCACACAAGTGCGCCCACAAAAATTCACGGGCGTACTGTGAACGTTTGAAAAGTACTCTCGTCCATTAGGCGATTGGAAAATTTCGCAAATCCGTAAAAAATGTTTAGGCGCCCGCAGTCACACGTCAATACTGATGTTAATTTAAAAAAAAATACTTTTACATCAAACGTTTTTGAATTTTGGCAGTAAAAAGATATCAGTGTTATTCCAATACACTTTTTTTTTCTTACCATCACCAAAAGAGAAAGTTCAACCCCAAGAAGCTGTTTGTAAAAAAATATTTGGCGCCTGCAATCGCATGACACTGATGTTTATTTAATTTAAAAAAAAAAAACATTTACATCAAAACTTTTTGAATTTTGGCAGAAAAAAAAAAAAGATATCAATGGTATGCCAATGCAGTTTTTGTTTCGTTGTTTTTTTTTGTCCCACAATCACGGAAAAGTTTTGTTGTCAAAAATAAATGTTCAAATCAAATATGAAATGTGTTGGGAAAATGTATTCAAATTATCAACGCACACTATAACTTTGGTATGTAAAAATGTATCATTTCGCAGGAACGATTCATTCCCATAATGTATATACCACCGTTTTTTCGTATAGGTCGAAAGTGTTTAAACGTATGACAATTTCGGTCGAGAAATTTGTTCCAATTTTGTATTTATTAATTATTAAATTAAAATTGTAAGAATGGGTCCTTGGATTTTTTGTACAGTTTGTTTCCTAATAAGATATTATGTTTGGTTGTGTAAAGAAATGTTTGATATTTTAATTTTTGTACCTTGTCTTCTGTAATTTTGTAAATTTGTAAAGATGTTTAATTTATCGTTTGCAATAGATTTGCCTTTAATATTGAATATATATGAACATTATTTATATGTACTATGCAAGATGATGTGGAAAAATCATGTCATATTAATTATTGCTTTTGACGAAATTAACATTGAGGTTACATTATATCATAGAAATTAAAACATGAACTTATTTTATTATCCTTTGTATATTATCCATATATCCTGATTCTAAAAAGAGAATAGATTATTATGATTATTTTGTTTTCGGTCTTTAACAAATCTTTTTCAATATTAATATATTTGGGGCAAATCATTGCAGCGTGTGTAAGTTCCAAGGATTGAAATTTCAAAATAAAATTATTTTGGAAACCAAAATGTGTTTTATTGTCCACTTTTTGTCGCCAGTCTACGAAAGATGGAGAAGACGTTTAAATGTCGTTATGGGTAGCAGCCACCGACGTATTACAAAGAAAAGCTATGTCCCTGCCAAAAAACTAGTTAAAAAATTCGCCTCAGGACGCGAATCGCGAAGACGTGGATTCGATTCGCACAGTGTCGAAAAACTTCGTACCGTACTTTTTTTTTTTTACAAATTTTAAAATTTAAGCGCAGAGATTAGCACCATACAAATGAAAATTTTCATCGGTTGATATGAACTTTTTATTTATGAACCGATTGAAATAAAACTAACACTAAATGTTAAGTGAAGCTTAATTAAATGCAGTTAGTGGAAATTGCACCAACATGGGTTAAACCGTTTCTTAGATTAGCGCGCGATCATTGTTTTTGGTCCTACTGCAATGATAAAGGCCCCCAATAACATTTTTTCTCAAATATATTCCATGAATAGACAACGATGGGTTAGTTTTATTATATGTATAGATAAGTTCACTTTTACTAGTTTATAAAATAGCTTTACTACACCCGTAGCCTAGCTTACGCTCTAGCCAGACCACACTTATGAGCATAAAGAAAGCACACTTCGTCTTCGCCTCTGCAGAGGAAGTACCACGGACACGGAAGTGTATTACTTCTGCGTTGCGTCTGATGAGAGAGCTATCCGGCCCTCTCTGTTAAACATATTATTATTGTTATGTCGTAAATACGAGAAATTAGTAACAAAAAAAAACGTCGAATGTCCTATACTCAAAATCTAGATTTCAGCATATGCTGGCATCGTGTTAAACATGGGTTAAACCGTTTCTTAGATTAGCGCGCGATCATGCACCCGTAGCCTAGCTTACGCTCTAGCCAGACCACACTTATGAGCATAAAGAAAGCACACTTCGTCTTCGCCTCTGCAGAGGAAGTACCACGGACACGGAAGTGTATTACTTTTGCGTTGCGTCTGATGAGAGAGCTATCCGGCCCTCTCTGTTAAACATATTATTGTTGTTATGTCGTAAATACGAGAAATTAGTAACAAAAAAAAACGTCGAATGACCTATACTCAAAATCTAGATTTCAGCATATGCTGGCATCGTGTTCCCTGTGCAATAATTCAGACAATCATAAATCATTTAAAAAGAAAAATTTGTACAAAACAATGAACTCTAATAAATCAGAATTATTTCAAATATGGCGACTTATATTTGAAAGAAAAAAAAAACAACGCATTGTTTTATTACGTCATTTAATATATATAAAATAAAATTACAGTCATCCAAACATTTACACAATAGTTATTTTATAATTTATGGCCGTATTAACTACAAATACATCCACACATAAATGTTATAAGCATTTTAATAATTTAATAGATAAAAAATCAATATCGCAACTAATAATGGGCGCTTTCAAAAGATTTTCTACACGATTTTCTTACAAATCGATACGGTTAACGTAGGTACCATACAGGGTATAGCTTTTTTTTTATTATTTTTATCACAAAGTGAAACATATAAATTTAACATTCATAAACTAAGGCATGTGCGACAAACAGATCGGTTTAAATAACCTAACATAAACTATTAATACTTTTCATAAAATGCTTCGCGAAACCACAGTTTCGAAAATAAAAATCATGGAATGGCAGAAAATAAATACAATGCAAATTTAACATAACACATCACAAAAAAAAATCCATAAATCCTCGCTGTCATTCCAAAAAGTCGTACAAGGTTCCATTTTTGGTCATAAGTAAATAAAAACCGGTCTGCTTGAAGTGTTCCAAATATATTACAGTAAGTATAATACTATAATGTATTCTACAAAAGTAAAAAGTGAATCCACGGACTAGAAAAATAACAGTTCATTTTTTATTCCGTGCATCAATCGATAAAAAAGTCCTCTATAAACGGGCATTGTTACAAAAGTGTTGTCGTTTGTTTACATTGATATTTACTTTATATAAATAGACAATAAAAATGTTTTTAAACACCGTTCGCACTGTTCCAATTTTATTATCCTTATTATGGAGACATTTACTTATTTTCTCTTCTGGTTGGGTTTATAAATAAAACTAAACTTTATTTTAATTTATAACTAAAAATAGCAGAGGCGACCAAACGCCCGAGGGTTAAGGCGAAAAGGATAATAATTATTATTTTTAAGAAAAATAAATACAACAATTAACAATAAACGAAAAAAAAATTGTATCGAAAATAAACATTTCCAGAAATCTCAAATACGACTTTTTGCAAGGACGAAATTCGAGATAACATCACAATAATTTATATGAAACTATTTTCATATAATATACCGCGGACATTTTAAATTTAGATTTCCATCGTTTCATCCAACGACATGGAATAAATTTAAAAATAAACGCGATAAATCCGTTAAAACGGTTACATTTAATTAAAGAAAAATCGTTCATCTAATGGGAGTTTACACGAGATAAATACAATAAATGCATTCGTAGCTACCAACGATTAGGAACTCGACTCGGAAACTGAAGTAAGGCGTCGTCTCAATTAGTTATTTTAATCCTGAGAAATAAATTAAACCAAAATCTCAGAAAATTCATAAATCCGAACATAACCTTTAAAAAGCAGGTGTCTAATCCATTGTAGGAATAAAAGGAAATGGGAAAAGCTGGCTAAAATTACATTAATACAAATACTGTCTTGTTAAATTCCCTTCGATTTCTTTATTATTGTACTAAAATATTCCTATTGTTATTTTAGCTCTCAGTTATTTTAGGATCCTATGATGCAAAGTAAATATATTGTTATTATTGAAATGTTTACAAACTTTGCTATTTATGTCAACTGTTTTAAAAATCATTCGACATCACCTGAACTCTATACTCATTTAAGATTGCACAATCGTCTAAGATTTTAGAGATAGCACAATTGAAAGCATAACGTGGCAAGTTCTTCATCTCATCTTAAAAGCTAAGAACGGTATGTGTTCCCATCGGGTGCAAACCCCAAGTATAATACATACACATAAAAAGCAATGTACACAGATACATAAAAGTCATATTACATATATTATACAATCTCATGCGAGTAGTGACTTCAACTTGAGTTAAAAGAGTTAAACTTAGCGGGGAATATGCTACTTTGATTGAACAAAGTGGAATGAAATGTGAATCAATGAGTTTTGACTATGCAGCATTTTTTTAAGGACAAATTGGAGATAGAAGTGAATCTAGGTATCAGAACTTACATTGAAACCATAAAAACTAAGGCCTCTTAAGTAATCTGAAGCAACAATCAAAAATCTGAACCTTGAACTTAGATTGGAAGGCAAACTGGCCGTCCACAGGACTACTGGGGTCTTACTTAACTACTTTATGAAATATTACATCTAGACCCTAACATAAAATGTCTTTTGAAATATAAACATTTGCCATCGAAGGCAAAATTTCATATACACTGTATAAATAAATAATGGATGAAAATGCAACATCAGAATACTGTAAAAAATATTGTTTGAGCACATACATGTCAATAAAAAAGCTCTTAGTGTCTTTAATGTTTATCGGGTTAAAAGGTAGGTGAATTTACATTTCACAGAAATTATCTGTATCTTCCGTTTACTAAACACAGTAATAGCCAGATGGTTGAGGATGTTTGAAAGTTACCGCATGTTTAACAAGGATGCATGATTGACTGTGGCAGGGCCAACTAGCTTCGGCTGTTGCAAGAATGGGCAGCTCTGGGACAGTGCCACGGCCTCACAGAAGATCGGCGTGAGGTGGAAGTGAAATACTTTCGCGTTTCGTTTGGCGAGTGAGGTAATACACTCATATTTAGGGTTGTCAACGCAGCTTAAGCCCTTAGTTGTTTTAGACGTTCGTGGGCGGCTGTTATCACTTTACATCAGGTGAACTTGAACTCGCTTGGCAACTTTTCACATAAAACAAGTATTATTTGGTTCGTAAACATGACTGAAGAACCCGTCTTGAGAAACCATATTTGAGTCTAAGTGACTTGTCTACTTTGCTAATGTTGTATACAAAGGCCAATCTAGAGGAACGTTTTCTTTATATCATTATTTTAACAAAACTTCTATCTGTAACTAACACATGTTAAGGTAGACCAAAAAAATCTTGACCGGAAACATTACAAATGTTGATGCTTTCTCCTTAAATTGGAAAAATGAGGCAGCGATTGTAAAAAAATATATGTAATTATTTGTTTTCTAGCCATAGACCAAAACGAGCGACCATGTTGACATGCGCTTTAGATGCTGATGGGACTTTATAACCTGTACATGTTGGAGGCATGCTAAAATCTCACAGTTTTAGTAACAACAACTGAAAATATGTAATATTTAACTTACAAAGTATTTCCGTACATCAATTTGAAACATATTTCAATTATAATACATAATAATTCATAATAAAGTGTACACTAAAACATTGATTATTTCTATACAATTTCATTTTTGGATGTTAGAAACATACATTAAATTAACCATCTTAACCAGAAAATACACAACATTAGGACGCGTCGGAAACTTCTCGAATATTCTGCAAGACCAAACCCTGTACAAGATTAATGAGGGCATATTATTAGGCCATGTGAGATTTTAAATTAAGCAGGAAAAACATTTTTCTATATAAAACTAAAAGGACTTTCACACACTGATAACCTAGTATTGTTACCGCAACGACATTAATATTTCCTAATGGATATGATTTAACACCATGGAATAGTATAATATCTACTCAACACCATAAAAGGTCTCCCAGATGTGTGTATTATCATATATATAATTAAAACCTGATAAAAATTCACCCCGTCTTGGTACTATAATTCCCTCCAGCTTATAAAAGAGATCAAAGCCAGGTATTATAGCATAGAATATTCTGGAGCCCTTTCAATCTTTGCATCTTGTTTTACTTTTAGTAATTATACGGCTGCACTGATGTAATGAGTAGTAAGTGATGAGGCGATAATCGGCTATGGAATATTATGTGTCCTTCTTTATCATTAACACCATACTGCAAATTATATAAAACTAGCGACCCGTCCCGGCTTCGCACGGGTGTAATGTATTATACTTCTAAACCTTCCTCTTGAATCGCTCTATCTAGTATAAAAAACCGCATCTAGATCCGTTGCGTAGTTTTAAAGATCTGAGCATACATAGGTTACAGACAGACGGCTTGAAGACTTTGTTTTATACTATGTAGTGATATTCTAAGGTTGTCTTATTCTGATTTTTATATCCAACAGTATAATATTAATGGCGTCTGTCTATTTGAACATTATACATTATAGAATAATTCTAGCCATTCAAAAGATACGATTGGAACGATAATTCATCTCCGATGACTGCGCAGTACTGAACCTACGATGTATCGATTACCAACCGTCCAGTGTCTACAACAGCCAGACCAGGGATGTCGAAAAAATATCGATATATCGATATTTTTTATTTTATATATCGATATTGTTTTGATGCGATATATCGATACAAATTGTATATCGAAAATCGTATCGAACACGATATTTTTTCAAATTAGAATCGGACACAGAGTCCTTAGGTGTCATATATTTAATACTTGACGTAGGTTTCTGGGACCTAAAGACAAAATATCGATATTTTCTCTTGGATATATCGAGGCCGATATTGATATTTTCATAATTATCGATATATCGGACATATTTCCACACTTTCGACATCCCTAACCCAGACCTGTTTCTTCGCCTAGCGGCCCCGTCAACGCGCTGTCTCCTAGAAGGGGGCGGCCTCGTCCAGGGTGTGGAGCCAGTTGAAGATCATCATGTTCCTCTCGTACTTGGAGAGCGGACGTCCACGCTCGCGCTCCAGGTCTGCGGCGGTGAGGACCAGATGAGCCGCCTCTGTGGACGGAGTAGCCATTGATCACTTCGTGGCCCAGTTGCGTTGGCTTTGGGCAACTATTTGTGTAATCAGCATATGTATATTTGTTTGTCCGCAATTACGCATGGAATTAATGTATGTAAATTTTTTTTTCATTTTTTTTTTGACAAAAAAACATTTCCCCTACTTTAGGATAACGTCATCCTGTGTTTGTAAGGACGTTTTACAAAACATAAATTTCACGCGGACAAACAGCGAGATGCGAAACGACCGTTTGTGGGGTCACACAAACAGTTGTCCCGTGTGGGAATCGAGCCCACTACCACCGACGCCGAAGCCAATACCTTGGCAACTGCTACGGATTCCCCAAAATGTTCGTACAACACGGGATAATGTTATCCTAATAAGTTAGGGCAACGTTTTAAAAGAGAAAAACCAAATGTGTGTATGTGTATGTGTGTGTGTGTATGTGTGTGTGTGTGTGTGTGTGTGTGTGTGTGTGTGTGTGTGTGTGTGTGTGTGTGTGTGTGTGTGTGTGTGTGTGTGTGTGTGTGTGTGTGTGTGTGTGTGTGTGTGTGTGTGTGTGTGTGTGTGTGTGTGTGTGTGTGTGTGTGTGTGTGTGTGTGTGTGTGTGTGAACGTACCGGGGTGCAGGAGGCGGGTGTGCGCGCGCGGCGTCGGCACCGGAGCCGCCAAGGTGTTGCCAACCGCCCTGCCAGCCACCGACGCGACGGCGGCTTGCTGCCAATCGAAGTGTCCGAATGTCCGAGTGACATAGTCCAGTTTTCACATAATATAGTGATAGAAACAAAATCACAATTTCCGTCAAATTTGACAGGATTTAAAACGTTTTATATTTCATATGAAAATTTTTGACAACATATTAGTTTTACAACTATATAGTCCGCCAACCCGCAGTGGAGCCGCGTGGTGGACTATGGCCTGATACCCTCTGTACAGAGGAGCTCTTTGCCCAGCAGTGGGGCATGTATAGGCTGATACTTTACTTTTTTTTTTTTAAACTGTACAGGGTGGCTTTCCTAAAGGTGCCCAAATTCACACAGGAGGTTCAGACTCGGTAGTATTATCGTCTATTGAAATAAAAAACAATCTTTTTTCGGTTCACTTGATGTTAAGCGATAAACGCAACGCCGGTTGCAGATGCGTCGCCACATTTTAATAAGGTGGGCCCCGGCCACCTCACTCACCAGACGAAACGCAGAAGTGTAACACTTCTACATTACGCTGGTCTTCTGTGAGGTCGTGGTACTTACCCGGACGGACCTGCCCATTCGTGCAGTAGCGAATAATTTTGCGAGGTCCTACCGCCTTTTCGAGATAAGTTCAAGTATTTAATTAATTAAGAGTGATTTTAAATATTTTATAATTTTTTTATATAACTTATTTATGTCATTTTGTGTTGTTAATTATTTATGTCTGGAGTTTAATAAAAAAAATGGCCAGACTTAAAAGACTCCCCGTATATAGCCTTTGCACTTTACCTCCAGCCGGTCCAAATTGAATTCGGACTGGGACATCCTCTCCAACGCTCTGTATGTGGTCAGCAGCCTCTTCTTGATGTAGTTCTGCCGGACCTGGAGACATATTTCGCATGATGACTAAACTATTGGGCAGCTGTTTGGCCTCTTAACATAAGTACCTATGAACCGGGGATAACTATACTGAATTTGTCCGTCTGTTACCCCCAAGCAATTTATGTTTGTGAAATATCTATGGTACACAATAAAAGATAGTGGATGTAGGAAAGTAATAATGGTTATTCTGATCTATAATTATTACAAAAATGAATAAAACAATTTTTACAAATTTTAAAAGGTTTCTTTCGACAAAGACTTACAAATGAGGGACATATGTTAATAAGTAAATAAGAAAAATTAACGAAAAACATGAAATTTAACAGATATGATGCTAAAAACATGACTAACGACATGTTAAAAACAGGAAGCACATTTCAACTGCCTATTTTCTTTTTGCCAAAACTACTTACTTTATTCCATCCCGGTTCACTTTCATTGCCAACTACCTGACAAATAGTTCACAGCATTGACAACAATATAAAATAAAGGGTCAAATAACAGTCTGAGATGTTTCTACCAATGTCGATTGTGATCATAACTGTCCCACAGCAAAGGATCTTAAAATTAATGTATATGGGCGACTGCCATGGCCAATTAACATTGATGGGTTCCGCTAAGAGAGGCAGTTTTAAAGACATTTTAAGGGTGGTTTCAAAGAAATTTTAAGGGTGGTTTTAAAGACATTTTAAGAATGGTTTTAAAGAAATTTTAAGGGTGGTTTTAAAGGCATTTTAAGGGTGGTGAAGTTGAACACATACCTTTTTGTTGTCGCTAGGCAGCGGACGGGGGGTGAGGTGGGAAGGGTGAGCGCGTTGAGGCGACGGCAGCTGAGAGCCCCCCACTGAGGTATAAAAAATAAAAACATTTAAAAAATATGTGAATTGAACCAATCCACAGTGGGGTCACCATGTGGACTCTGTACAGGGGAGGCCTTTGCCCAGCAGTGGGACAAGTATAGGCCTGTTACTTTACTTTCATGGGTTCGATTCCAGCTGCTGACGCGAGAGACATGTTCAGGCAACTCAGCGTATGATGGACAATGTGTGTGCCATCTATCCCACCTTTATGTCAATGTGGGATAGATGAGCTTATGTTGAATAAGCCGAACGAGGTTAATAAATGCCTTCAATGCATTGAAATTATTAAAATTACCGCCGACGCCAATGTGTGGGGTTAATACTGTTGATACTCACGTAGGCTAGAATATGACTATTACACCTGTATGTTATATTGTAAGCTGATACTTTTGAAAAAGAGCAACTGTTGAGTTTCTTGCCGATCTCTCCTCAACAGAAACTGCTTTCCGAACTGGTGGTAACTTACTAACGTATATATACAATTTATTATGTAAAATTTGTAGATTCAAAAGAACGCGTAAGCGTCTATTTGAATAAATATATTTTTTATTTGATTTGAATACAATACAAAATGTACGGCTTCGCCTGTACACAGCGTACTCAAGACATGCAAAGAGTGATTTTGTAGCCATTGGTTTATACACATTAGTGTTATGTACATACATGGATTGTTTGATCATTGCCCGGACAGTTCATCCTATGGAGTAACAAGGAGTAAGTGTTGTGCCGATGACGGGTTAGTTGTTCCGGGTGACAAACCTGCTACCCAGGTGCTGCAAGAACGCGACGTGGCGTTCATCGTCAGGGCCTCCAGGGCTGCGCACAGACCCACCTCTGATGTGGCACTGAAACCGGATTACATTGTAAGATGACAGCTTTAGTTACGGGCTGGATACTTTGGGATGAGAAATATGACAATGAACAAATATATAAAGTTGATTTATACTAATGTAAGAGACTAAATTATGTGCAAAAATTATGAGAGTGAAATTTAATGATATGTAACACAAAAGTCACACCTTTGAAGGTTCCTGCTAAACAACAAAGTAGTAGTATATAGATATAAACTCAAGTTTGCAGTTTTCTCAAGGTCAGTTTTTGAAACAATGTTTTTGTTTTGTTATCCAACTTGTTTTTCTCTTAAAATATGTAGAAAAAGTGCGAAAAGATTGTCGCCGTTGTGGGAATCGAACCCACGTCTTCGTTTCGTCGGTGAGGCAATCAGCCGTTTAGCTCAGTGGCTAGAGCGTCAGGCCGCGAATGCCGAAGACGTGGGTTCGATTCCCACAACGGCGACAATCTTTTCGCACTTTTTCTACATATTTTAATGTTCAATCTTAAGTGCAAAGATTAGCACTATAAACAATTTAAATTGTTTTTCTCTTGTCACGCCAAAGAAGCATAACTTCTTACGCGGTTACACAAGTACACACAAACTTTTTTTTCTTATGTGGCAAGCGAGCTGGCGGTTCACCTGATGTTAATTGATAACCGACGCCCATTGACATTTGCAACACTCGTAGGGTTGCAGATGCGTTGCCACCTTTTAATACAGTGGGCCACTGCTACCTCACTCACCGGACGAAACGCCACAAGCGTAACACCTCCACATCGCGACGTTCTTCATTAGTAAGGTCGCGGTACGTACCCGGACGGACGTTTTTTTTTGTATCGGGGGGAAAATCTTCGAAAGATGTCACCTTACATGACAGGGTTATGTGGGGTTCTCACCCACTAAAACCCCCTCGAACCACGCACCAGTGTTCCTCGGAACTACGCCTGAACACGCCTCGGAGAAGGATAGACCTTCCCCGATTCCCTCGCCATCTTGCAGCAGCACGAGGCCACTTCGCGCTGCTGCCCATCCGCGGCCCCTTTTCAGTCGCCTTTCACGACAAGCAGGGGTTGTCGTGAAAGGCGACTATACCTTCAGGGTCAGGTTTAGAGGTCTGGAGGCCTCGGTCGAACAAAAGAGGGGAGAAATTATTTTCCGTTGATTTCTGTTAATATTTAATGTTAATCATGATTGTGCGAAGTATTGTAGTTAAAGGTAAAACGCGAAAGTTGTTTTCTGTAGTCACTATTGTGGGGGGCCCCTATTGCCCTGCCTTAAATGCGGCCCTGGACACCTTAGCCCTATTGTATGGGCCGGCTCCAGCACTGACCTCCGGGGCGGCGGCGCCTGGTGCGCGGCGCACACGTCGCCCGAGCTGAAGGAGCGCCGGAGCCCTAGCTGCGCGCACAGGGCCGCGCAGCCGGCCAGCACCTCCCGGCAAGCGTCGCCGCTCTCGCCCGAGGCCAGGGGCAGGGCCGCCGAGGAACGCCTAAGGGGCGAGGCCACTCTTATTCATTTATTTATTTTATTTTATTGAGGCATACAAACAAACGTACAAAAATTTATATAAACATTAACATATTACACATACAAACAGATAAGTATGTGTACATTCAACACCGTATACCCAAAGTTATGTATATAATGCATAAGGTAGCGAGATAAGATTATACATGTCATTTTGATTCATTATAACATTTAAATATTTAGTAACATTTTTTTTTAAATGGGAAGTCGTAGTAGCAAAAATATCCATACTTGTGAAGTTGTCGTTGTATGATTTGCACTATGCGTTGCATCGGCGAGCGTAAAGGCCCATTTACACGGTGCCAGTTTCTTGCCTGTTGTATACAATTAAATTGAAGCAATAAATAAGTTGCATGGTCTAAACAACAAATGGTCTAACCAATTATTGCGCGCAATTTATTGCATTCAATTATTGCTCTTGCATGTACAAGAAAATGGCATCGTGTAAATGGGCCTTAAGTGTCATGTGTGTCAAGTCACAATTGGCGAACTTTACAGGAGAAGCAGATTATGAAAAATTTATATGAATTTTACTTTTAATATTTAAATTATTTTTAGGAATCATTGGTTATTATCATTAATGTGTTATGTGGGACTTACCTTAAAATTGTACCATAGAGTAAAAATTTCACAATTCCAAAGTGTTATGTGGGACATAAATTAGTTTACCCTGTGTTAGTTTGTCACTTAACATAATTTATTTCCGAGTATTTTTTTATCAATGGAAGTTAGGACTTGATACAATTTGCCACTAAATCCGTATGAACAAATTGGACATAAATCATTGAAAAAGCAAAATTCATAAAAAATGGAGGTACTGCATTTTTTTCTTTTTTAAATTCTAAACATAAATAATGTTATATAAAAAATGATAAATATTTTAAAACCACTCGTAAGAAATTAATTACGTTCCATTTGAACTTATCTCAAAAAGTGCGCGATTTGTACGCAACTCGTTTATTTTACGCGCGATCATTCATAACTAACACGCACACAAGTTCGTTTGTGTGCGTGAACAGTAAAATTAGGTTATTTATGAATGACTACCGCGTTGTCAACAAGTTCTGTTTTTTGGGGAATAGAAAAGTAATTTTTTGAAAAAATATATTTTTTTTTAATTTCAATAAACTATAATACTACCGAGTCTGGACCTCCTGTGTAAATTTGGCCACCTTTAAAAAAGTCTCCCTGTATAAACAACCTGTGTCAACTTACTTAGGAACTTATGTGTTAGTTTTCATTTTTAATTAGCGACTTGCCCGGGCTTCGCACGGGTGAAATGTGTTATACAAACCTTCCCCTTGAATCACTCTATCTAATAAAAAAAACTACATCAAGATCTTATACCGAACCTACGTAAACCCCCTCTGCGTCGGATACCTTTTCGACCATCACTACATAGCATAAAACAAAATCGTCCCGCTGTCTGTCTGTCCCTAATATGCTTAAATCTTTAAAACTATACAACAGATCTTGATGCGGTTTTTTTTTGTAGATAGAGTGATCCACGAGGAAGGTTTATATGTATAATATTTTGCACCCGTGCGAAGCCGAGGCGGGTTGCTAGTTTTTATATAAATTAAAAAAAAAAATCATCTAAGGTGTAGAGAAAAACACTTATTTGCTTTAAATATATTATTTGTATATATAATACTGCAATAGTCGAGACAAATCGAGAAATGATATTAAGGATAAGCCATCACACATGATTATGACATTGGTGCACTTACTTGGACGCCTTACCATCTGGGTTGGGGCTTGCAACTCTGATGGAGGGATCGGGCCCTTGGCCAGCCTGGAACAGAATAATAGTATTATACACTTCATACAGCAACATTTAAAACTTGTGTGGACATACTTTAACAAAACCAAATTCCTAAAAAATCAGAATAAAAACCTTGACCGCTGTCTTTAATCTTATTTTTAAAATTAGCACCATCTAGTGAGATGCTTTACAGTATTAAGACACTCAAGTATAATTCGAAAATGAATAATATTACGCTATTGAAATGTAGGATTATAATCTTAATAAATCCTAATTGGAACAAATCTGTAGATGAAAGTTAAATGTGAGTTTGATAGATAAATTGACAAAAAATTTCGCGGCCTGAGTTCATCAGTTGCTTAGCTCAGTAGGTCTACAGTACTACCCTTGTTCGAATCCCGTAGCTCCGAAAAATCAACAATCAATCATACTCACATTTCAATATAAAGTAACAAAAACAAATTAAATAAACACACATTCCCGGAATTTATAAAAGGATGTAACTGTGGCAGGGCCACGCAGCAGCCTCGGCTGATGCACGAATGGGCAGGCTCGTCCGGGTAGATACCACAAGCTCACAGAAGACCGGCGTGAAGTGAGTAGACGGAAACCAATTTTCAAAAGGGTTGTCAACGCATCTGCAACCCTTTGATGTAGCATATGTCCATGTGCGGCGGTATTCACTAAACATCAGGTGGACCGCCTGTTCGCTTAATAACTATTCACATTCAAAAAGAGTTGCCACTAACTTTGGAAGCAAGCAGCCGAAGCACCCTAGCATCCGAGGCCGCTGAGGACACGCTGAAGAGCGAGAGATCCGTCGTGACCGACTCGTGGGAGGGCGAGCGAGCCACGCCCGCGCTCCGCCACGCCTCCGTACACATTTCCAGGCCTGCGGACAGTCAACAACAACATAGATATCTGTACCTCAGAAGAAAACAGCATTATCCGACAAAACACAAATATGCATGGAGAGAATCATTTAATGCATTATTGATTATGATGTCACATACAATTGGATTATTTATTATTAAGCGTCATAGGATTTAATGCTTTATATTATTGTGTAGAATTTGTTCTTGCAATTTTAATGGTGTAAGAAAAAAAAAATTTGCTAAATGTGAAGTTACTATTATATTATACATAATGAGAAGTATTACATTTTATATTTTAACGTCAAACAGGAAGTTTCTTCAACAAATGCTTGTCTTGACTACTTTTTAAAGTCTAAATCTACTGCGAGTTGACTAATTTAGACGAGTCAGATTCGTACTGTGGTGACCAAATGTACAGAAACACCCATAAGTTCATTATCATTACTTCAGCCTGTTTCAATCCAATGCTGAATATGCGTCACCCCCATGGAATAGTTCGATTGTTAGTTAATAGTTCTAAATGTTTGCACGAAGTGTAGGGCCAAGCAAGTTTTCGCTGTTGCATGAACGGTCAAGTCTGTCCAAGTAAGCACCACAACCTCTCAGAGGAGCAGTGTGAAATTGGAGTGCTGTATTTCTGTGTCTGTTCTGGTGAGTAAGGTACCCAGGGCCTACTATATTGATGGCAACGCATCTGCAAACCTATGGGTGTTACAAATTTCAATGGGTGGCAGTCATCACTTAACGTCAGGTAAACCACCGGCTTTTTTTCAACCTTCAAAATGTGACATGGTTGTCAACTAATGTGCAGACTTATTTGGGTATTTAAACACAACTATCCAAATAAATTGTTGCTATATAATTTGCACATATATGTAAATTGCTTATATGTCTAGAATATTTTCATGTAAAAAATTGGCCATCATATCTTGATTTTTCATAAGTCTGCTGCTGATAGAACATTTAAGAAATATGTGCAGTCACAAACTATTGTCCTTTAATTATTTCGAAATTTCTGTTACATAAGTTATACAGTTAAGTAATTCATCAATGATACCTTTTATTATAGGTATAAAAATTGATGGTTATGTAAACGATTTTACACAAAAAACAATGTTTACAAAACATATCACATGATTTATTTTCAAAATTATGATAAAGCTTTGATACACCAAGAATTTATCTAATTTTTAACCAAAACTAGTGTTTGACTGAAGAAAGGTTGTTAACGTTAGGTAGGAGACATTTCAAGTATAAGATGAAATGTGGGGCATGAACTTTACATGCCCCACATGAGATAGAGTCAACTCATTTAAAGATAACTTTAATATAAAGTTATTTTTGTATAAAAATCTGTCTATATAGGTAAGTCATTGTTGACCAGTTGTCGAAAATCGTCAACAAGATATATACAAATGAATTTATTGAAACAGCGACTGGTAATAACAAAATCAAAACATCAAAACGGACTTAGAATGAAAGGCTATCAATGTCACATCTGTGAAATTTTCGCGTTACAACACAGTTCTAATATGCCGGAAGAATTTGCAATATCATAGTAAACAAAAACATACCGCTTGTTTTGGAATCCACGGCGAGAAATTACGGACACAGCACTTTTATACGACAAAATTTGCCGCGGAATAGTAATTAACGGTTAATCTTATATCACTAACGGAGCTATTGGTAGAAAATATGCCACAAAAATAACATATAAAGCGTTTCAGAAATCTAGTCCGGGTCAACTGCCAAGTGCCAAAATGAAAATTGCCTTTACGTTTCAATACTTAACATTCTCACCACAGATCCGAATTCTCGTTTCTTAAGAATTAGAAAAATACTATCCGATCATTTAAATACTTCTTTAACAATAAATTGCAGCTTATTTATTGACAAAACTGTAATTTAATAAGGCAATACAAAACTAAATTTGACTGTTTCAGAGGAAAATGCGTAAAACGCTCTTGCCTCTTTGGTTTCAGAACGAACATGACCGACTTCCATGAGGCTTCATTTTGTTTTGGTTTATTTATTTTGGTGTACATTTAAAAAAAATGGCTAACTTTAAAAAGTCAATAAAACTCTAAACCTAAATACTACGAAAAAAGAAGAAGAATGTTTAACGATGTTGACGATTTTTTTGTACTAAAATAAGTATTATTAATTAATTTCATTAAAATTAGTGCCATCTATCAGCGTTTATATGTAACACCAAAATGTTCTATTCCCATCGTAATAGAGGGAGACACGGGCCATTATTCCGAAAGGTCACTGCTCTTGTAACCTTTTAGCTTGCCAAGTCACCTATAAATAGTTACGGTATTGAAACAAAAAATGTTTTATGATTATAATTACCTAATGGTTCAAATAAGTGAGACGAATGTTACTGATGTAAAATAAATTTATGTAAGACTTATGAACCTATTTTAAAACATATTTGTGTAATAACATATATTATAGTTAGTTATGTATATTTTTGTAGAAATAATTACTTCCATATAAATTTCAACGAGTCGAGATACATCGGCGAACTCCCTAAAATTAAATAGAAATTGTATATTGAAGTCTGCTTTATTTTTTGTTAATAAAAATGTACTTGTTATTAATCTAGTCAAATTTTTCTGTCTTCTAAATGCACTTCGGCAATAGATTAAACCGTTTTTGGTTTTTTTTAAATGTTTCTCTTAATACCCAACGATAAATATAATGCATAAAGGAATTTACGTGCGAGTAATTTCAAGATTATAGTAGAAAAATCAATGAACGAATTGTTTCATAAATATAACATTTATACAAACAAGTGTAAATATAGCTATGCGTTGTACACTATCCAACGTTCGTTGCTTTCGTATCAAGTGTTTGTCAAGATATTACAGGATTAAGATCGGTTTACATGCAGTGGAATTATTTCAATATGTAAATCCGACGCTAACATTATTAATGGGATATTATTTTACCGCAGTAGGGTCATGAACATTCTTCTGCATTGCTCTACCGCTGACCATAATTATGTGCATGTAAATTGTAAACAAAATATAAGGGAGTGCTATGAATGCTATGAAAGAATCTTTGGGCGTTTGTTAATATCTTAGTGTTCAAAGAAAAAGGTGAAATTTCTTATTCAATATAGGCTTCTTTTAAGCTCTTAATGAATCGTAATTCGTCACGGTACTTCAACGAACTTCACGGTATTTCCATGGCAAGCGATAAAAACTTTTTGAAATTTAACTATAATTCCTAGTTATTTAATTAAGCCGTTATTATTTGTATTTAATCCTTTTTCACAAAGAAAGGCACATTTTTTTTTAGTTAGTATTCTCGTGATACGTTAAAGAGGTTATTATAAATAGGTTAATGGCAATTAATTCGTACGTGCTTAAATACAGACACGGTTTTATATAATAAATTTTGAATAAATAAAATTTCGAATGGCATTTTCAAATTTCGCGTACGTATTGATTATATTTCAACGACATGTGAGCCAACGCCAAACAGATTGCACACGTATAACAATATGTTAGGCGGTATCGTGTTGAATATTTTATCGTTATACATACACACACTGTTCTGTCGTCGTGTTGCAGCCGCTCTGGATTTTCCGACTTAAAGCGAAATGACCGGAAGACATTAAATATACTTCGTGTGTGTTTACGCAAATACTACATACTTAGTTCTAAAAACAACACTTTGATTCTGGTTTGTCGACGTTTCTAAGAGTAAAGTGGTAGTACAAAATTCAACGCGAAAAATACATAAAACTGGACCATCTATGTAATATAAATAAATAAAAATTTCAGGATATATTTTTAACAGAACGTCATCTAGTCCCAAAATATTGAGCAAAACTTCTATAATGGAGTACTAGGTAACTGAAAAACATACTTAAACTTATTTTTAATTTGTAAATAAATCTATATTATAGACTAGCTGCAGCCCGCGACTACGTCTGCGTAGAATAGGCCGGAGGCATAACATTCAGACAGAAAAACAGATATTCATATAATATGTATATAAATTATAGCCTATGTCTTATTCTGATGTATAACCTATATTATTGTAAAGTTTCATCAAAATACATTCAGTAGTATTTGCGTGAAAGAGTAACAAACATCCATCCATACATGCAAACTTTCGCCTTTATAATATTAGTACGGATGTAACACTGTTCATCACACAATATATTTCCAGTATTCGGAATCGAACTCGTACCTTATGAAACAGAATTTCATAAGGTAAAAAAAAGATAAAGATAAGATACGATATAAAAAAAGATAAAGATTTCATAAGGTAAAGGACAGATTCATCAATCAATATCCATTTCACCAATCTGGTCATCAAATAAACTGTTACTTCGTTACGATCATTTGTAAACTAAGTACTTACTTGAGTTTGCTGTATATCAAAATAAAATACTTTTCTCTTTGTATTATATTACTAATAAAAAAAACCGGCCAAGTGCGAGTCACACTCGCGCACGAAGGGTTCCGTACCTTAATCTTAAACAACAAAGAGGGGAAAAAATCATGTCCGTTGTATGTGAGCCAATTTATGAGTGAAAAAATTTTTTATTCTGTATTTTTAGTATTTGATGTTATAATACGGCAACAGAAAAACATCATCTGTGAAAATTTCAACTGTCTAACAATCACGGTTCCTGAGGTTCAGCCTGGTTACATACGGACATACAGACAGACAGCGGAGTCTTAGTAGTTAGTTAGTTAAGTAAATTTTTTTCAGAACTGTATACACTTTTATATACTAAACGTCCCTTGGGCACTCCGAGAAATACCAAATTTTGTGTTCCATCCACAACTTCCTACATAAACGTATAACACCGCAGTTATGTACGCAGATAATACATAATGTCAGATAACGCGTTGTTTGGGAACGTACCGTTATTAGTTGGACAAATTGTATTTATTCTTGTTGATTTGCGCATCCATTGAATCCGTTCGCCTAATTCGATCACCAAACAACGACGCTGCAAATACTTAATACTCACCTATTCA